GGCAAATAAAAATAAAAACATTTATTGCCCTAATAATATATACATGTCAACTTATGAAATTTCAGCCTTCTTTCTTCCTGATGTTCCGCTTTTGCACCATCTTCTTCTGGTTTGTTATCCTCTCGGCATCCTGGACTTCTCTGGGTGATTTCCTCGTCTTTTTCTGTAGGTACTTTTTAATGGCATCGTACCTACTTCCCTGCTTAAAGCGTTCCAATGAACACCCCTTACATACATACCCTTTGGCGCCTTTTGTGGGCTTCTTCGTTACTAATTAAAATTTATTGAAAAATAAGGATATATAAAAGATGCACAATTTTTTCTAGATATACGTATATTTATTTGTCGTTTAAGATAAAACAGTTATAAAATAATTACATAATTAAAAAGTTGTAGAAGTTAAATACTTTTATTTTTTGCTTCCTGACAACTTACTATCATCCTTGTTGTAATTTTTCCATGATTTGTACACAACGAACAATACAATAATTCACCATGTTTAGTTTTGTTACTAGCACAACACAACAATTCTTTGATACAATAGGTAACTCAAAATAAACTTTAAAAATTAAGTAACCAGATTTAAATTAAAATTACTAAGAATAAATGCAAACGAAAGTTAAAGATAATAAAATAAAATTGAAAACTTGTAAACAAACGGAAGATCTGTCATTACTTTGGATTGACAGAATTGATTGCTTCGTTTGATTATTTGATTTGGTTTATGATTGGTTAAAGTCTTCGTGAGAGAGATATGCTGTTATTTCTCTTTATTAACTCGCTGGGGTTAAAGTGATGGGGGAATGAACCAAGTCATTCATATAAGATTCCAGGCCATGCTCCACTCTATCTACAGTCACGTGTCACGCTGTCAGATTTGTGAAGGACGTTTTTTCTTTATTTTTTGTCGTTAATAAAGATTCTTCTTCTTCTTTTTTCGTTTTATGGCCTCCACCTCTTAGGCACGTGGCCAACTCATGATTAATAAAGATTTATTAACATAATCTGCGAAAGTGAGGTTATATATACATTATCAGCATCGAGCAATAAGACAAAAGAGGGAATGTAAAGGTAGTGGGGGTAAACATATTGATAGACAGGAAGTGCCATCTTGAGAGGCCACTTTAGACAAGGATAGACAGTCTCTTTCCTTGTTTAAGAAGTCAAATTTAGTTAGGTTATGTTATTGTTTGTCCCAACTGTCACATGAAATTTTATTTATATTGAAATCTTTTACCAATTGTGTCACTTTTTAGACTATTATAGTTAATATTTAACTAAAATTTCTCGTCTGAAAAATATTTTATAGCTATTGTTAATAAGTGTTGGAAAATTTAAATTTAGCGCCTTTGCATTTCCGGATATGTCCGCCATCAGAGGCCACTTTTTTGGTCTCCTTTTCATAACGATTAGATTCCCTCTTTTATCTTTTTGCTCGATGATTATTAGCATCCATGGTACAATGAATATGTTCATTGTACCATGCACAAAAGCGTCCTGATAAAATTTCAAGCAATCGCCACCATGAGCAGGTCAGTCGACTTTGCTTTGACACTTTGTTAACCCTCGGAGCGAATATTATGTTATGAATTCTGCAATTTTTGATTTATATAAAACAAGAATAAGTAAATATTTGTTTCTTTGGAAATAAATTGCAGTAAATTATTAGAAATTGTTTAGCAGTTACCCTTTGATAGATTAGGGGATAGATTTGGCAATCGTCAAATCAGCAGTTGCCAGATGTTTGCAATTAATCTCGAAAAAGACAAATATTTACAAGGTATTGCTTCATATAAATTAAAAATTGCGGAACTCATAATATAGTATAATCAAAATATACTTTTTAAAAGCTTTATCTCTTTATATTTGAAGCATACAACATAATATGAATTATAACAAAATGCCAACACTGCCAAACCGAAATATATTTGACATTTGCGGCTATATTCTGCTTGTACTGTCATCATTGTATGTGGCCTTTTTAAAGACAATCACATGCTACATTTTTTCTACTGGATATTCGTAAGTTAAAGTTGATTTCATGTAGTCGAATAAACTATCTTACAATAAAGTCGTCCCAGGAACTTAACTTAAAAATGTTGGCAATATCATTTTAAAGACAACTACCTGAAAATGTATAATTTATAAGCAGTGAAGTCCTCACATTGCAGAAATCTACGTAAGGAATACCTAGTGAAACCCCTGGTAGATCAGCTGTCTAACACAAGAGGACTTGATGTTTTTGAAACTAATGTAAGTCTAACATTGAAACAATTCGTACATAATTTTTTGCTTTATACTTTTTATTATTATATACTGTTCAATATTCCAACATTAATTATTTTGTCAATCAATAAGTGCATACCGAATCTGAATATTTTTGCTGATTTCTTTGTTAATTATACATTTTTGGCGTTTATTCTGTTAATCATCGTTTTTTTAATTTTATTTTATAATATCCGTTACAATACACTTCCAAACCCGATCGACAGCGATGCCAAATGCGAAGCCTTACTCCTACAACGACAAGAACGCCTTCCCAGAACACGCCAGACTTCCGTAGTATTTTCCAAAGATTACAATGTCCAGAAGATCAACCTAAACCTTAGGTTCATAACAGTTGCTGACCCACTGCCTATTACTATCAAATGAGAGTCCAGAGACGTCAAATCATCCACACGAATCATGTTCTCAATGTACAACCCACGTGCGATGCCTTTATTGAAATTACAAGAGTACACTCCCAGAAATTCATTGACGTCCATGACAATGTTACTTACAGAAGTCATCCAATCCAAATACGAGTCAATTGCTGCAATCACTACCCAGAAGACCTTGAGATAACCCATTCGTCAACAAATATCTGGGTTGGTTCGCGATCTTAACAATTGTCGTTAAAATTGTGACAGTCAATGATATTAACAGATTTGTGAGTAAAACTTAAGTAAATGGACATTATACGGTAATATTGTATAAACAATCAATTAACTAACAACATTTAGCAACTTATTAAAAAATTAGCACAGCAACAGACATGTGGTCTAAAGTATAAGTAATATTTTATTTTATATTAAGCAGTGAAAAAGAACTAAGAATATCATAGATCCACTTTCAACTATTTGATAATTATTTAGCTTTGATTTTAACTTTAGGTAGCATTAAATAGGTGATTTTAATAAAAACTTATTTTAAAAAAGTAGTGTAAATGAAGTTACCGATCAAAGCCTCACAGCTGCCGCCGGGAAAATGGCGTTAATTGAAACAGACCGAACTAAACCGTGCAAAGATAGTCAACCTTGAGGTCAAAAATTTGACAGAACAGCAAGGTAGAAGTACCACCCCAAATAATTGGGCGGTGTATTTAAAAGTTTAAATGAGTTTGGATGACAACCCTCTTGTAAGAGACAAACCAATGAAAGAAATTGGTATTATAACAGCAATTCCTCTAGAACGAACAAACAGGCGAAATTCATGTAAGGTGTACCCCACCATATATAAATATATATATATATATATATATATATATATATATATATAGAAATATATATATATATATATATATATATAGAAATATATATATATATATATATATATATATATATATATATATATATATTGAGATAATAATAGATATAGAAGAAATTGGCATGGTAATATTATGATTTTAATTGATAAACTTAAATAGTGATTAAATAAATAATTTATAAGTTATAGACTAGAGAATATTATAAAAAACTATTTATGTATATGAGGGTATTTTTAAGAATTTAAAATAATAATAAGTGTAAAAAGTTTTATTTTAATAATTAAAATATTATAGATATATTTAAGTGAGCCATGTGCATAGGCAACTAAATATACACTGAATTGACACTGTATTATTATGACATGAGTGAATTTGAACTTCATAAGTGACATTTTGAATAATAATTACGGATGTAAAATAGTGTTATGTATTAATTCAAAGGGTTCAGTTTATATATAAGTGTATATTCCGATCTGAAAAGCCTAAATGCCCATAAAATTCTCGATAGAAGGGTAAAGAATTCTCTAGAAAACGTCAATATAAAAAACTTAACCCTATTTGCATAGTATAATATTCGAGACCGTTCAATATTGATCAGATGGAGCAGTTTTCAACATGGTTATCAATATCGTGACGTCATTGGAGAGTTGCACGTTCGAGATGTCAGTTTTTTGTATGTATCAATAAATAATCTTTAATAAATAGTTTGGAGATATCCTTATCTGTACGATTATTGTAAGTTAGTTGATCAGTAAATAGTAGAAGCAGATAGTATACAGTGTTTTATAGTATTTGAAAGTATACTAAAATTATAATATCTGTATGGTGATTGGAGAGTATTAAAAAGAAAAAATAAGCTTATAACTAAGAAGCAAAGAAGAAACAGTAAATAAAGAGGAGTATTTTGCCCATTTATAAAGCTATTTAGAAGAAAAATATTTTAAATTGGTAGAAGCTGATAATTAAAACATTCTGGTATATTTCAATTGGAACTTATTACTTATTACACTGGAAACAGCAATTTCACAAAAACAAGGATAACCGAGGCTGATAAAGAAGATATTGAGTGGTGATTATACCCTTTATTTTGGATAACAGTTTCATTAAGATATTCAGTGATAGAAAGGTACCAAATTTTGTTAATATAATTTAATTATTGGAAGAAATTCAAAATTAAGATAGGTTGTTCTAAATTTATATTGTCTATGTATATTAGATATATATGTGTGTTGCATAATAGTTATAATAAAGATGATTTAAAAAAGTACTTACAAACTAATTCTTTGAGAACCGCGATAAAAACCCTATACTTATATATGTTATTTTAAATTATTCATTGCTCACACACAAACAAAACATCATAGCAATATATATATATATATATATATATATATATATATATATATATATATATATATATATATATATATATATATATATTGTTCAGATAAAAATATAATTCTCTTTTAGTTACCAATGTTTTCCCATAATTGCATTTGCGTCATATTTCTCGCCTCCAAGCAACTAATCTGACTCCTGAAAACCTGGCACTCCCCACTCAGGAAAAACGTTTTCCTTCCTAGTCCATGCTCGTATAGTTTTTCAGCGGCAACACACTGCAGCAACCTTAATCCCAAATTGATTCTTTTGCAAGCGCTTTCGATGGTGTTGTTTTCCCAAGGAGGAGCTTGAAAACAGCCATCGTGGTCCTCACATATCACATACAACGGTATCACAGCGGTCTCTGATAAAACTGGAAATAAAATAGAAATGTTTGATTTATAAAGGAATAAAATGGAATAAAAAAATTATATTGAATTAAGAAATTAAATATTATTGCTATTTTAATGTGTAATGCACTATTGGTGCAGGCAGTAGTAAACAGTGTAGAAGTGACGTGATCTGGGGGCGCAGGAGACTGAACGCGGTTCAACTCAGAAACTAGGTAAATTGGATAAGAATGCTACACAACAGAATTTGACGCAAATGCAAAGAAAATCTCGTAGATACCCAATTTGGTTTTAAAATAATATCGGAACTAGAAAGGCACTTTTTGTGCTAAATATCCTATTACTAAAATGCCGTGATTAAAGATGTATTTGCATACTTTGTCAACTTCGAAAAGGCATTCAATAAAGTACAGCATGTAAAATTAGTGCAGATGATAAAAAATATAGGAATATTTATATGACAAAGATATTTGTGTCGATAAAAATCTGTACTGGAATCAAACTGCTATTGTCAAAATTGAAGACAACAACGACGAGATCTGCTTACAACGATATAGATATGGAGAAAATATTTTACAACTCACACATGATAGCTGGAGCACCTCCAGGTACAGTGGGATTAGCAACGCCCAATAGTTGGATGACAGCCAAACTCTTTTCACACGTTCTTGACCATTTCATAAAGCATTCACATAGTACACCTGAGAACCATTCCCTTCTAATATATGACAATCATGAAAGGCATATATCAGTTGATGTTGTTGAAAAGCTCGGGCTACAGGTGTGACTATTTTAATTCTACCATCACACTGTAGTAACAAAATGCAGCCCTTAGATACATCGGTGCTTGGACCACATTACAATGCTGGTATTGATTCTTGGCTTGTATGACATCCTGGAATTCCCATGACTATTTACCAAATCCTTCATCTTCATCCAAAACAAGCTCATGCGAAATCCTTAATTTCATTCAACATAACGTCAGGATTCCAGAAAAGTGAAATTTATCCATTTAATTTTCTAACCTTTAACGACAGACTTTTTAACATCAGCAGTATCTGACAGGCTACAACCGGAATATCTAACCGGAAATCTAACATAAAATTTCAACTAGAAACAACTATGGATAATAAACTTCCCACATTTGCTAGTCCAGAAGACTTCAGAGCGTATTCAAAAGCACCACCCCATAAAGCTAACAGGAAACCTAGAAAGCGAGGTAAAAGCACAATTATTACTGACACACTCGAGAAAGATGCGTTAATAGAAAAAGAAAGAGGAAAAGGGAAAGCACTAAACAGCAAAAAGGTCTGACTCTAATAAAGAAAGTGATATCCAACTAGCCGACTTCTCAGATGATGATGATAATTGGATTCTCGAACAACCTGATTATTTTCGAAGTGCGGACGAAATAAGGACGATTTCGTGTTCGTACGTTTTCCTAAAAAGGTCCACTATGTGGGAAAGCTACTTACCGATGTTAATAACCAAAATGATTATTAAATTTTAATATTTACGAAAATTTGAGAAAATAGGTGGTTCTTTTCACTTTTCTCCACAGCCTGAGTTAGCTCTAGTGAATAAAGTTGATATAAAAATGATTTTACCTCAATCCGTTTCCGGGAAAAAATCAACGTTTGATGGGTTATTACAAATTTAATATTAACTTTGGATCGTTAAATGTTCGTAAGGGTTTTACGTAGTCAAAACATTTTTTTAAGACACTGGATAAAATATATTTCAGTGTGTACCGATTTTGGCACACAGTGAAACAATTTTCGGTATTTTTTCTTTAAGCTTTATTTGTTTTTTCATTATGTGAATTTTTAGCAAATTTCGTTCCTAGATTCTTAACAAAGAGTTAATGTAACAAATTCAAAAATAACTTTTTAGAACTAAAAAACTTTTTTTGTTTCACTGTGTACTACTCTCCCCTAAATGAATATGTAAACGCATAAACATCTAGAGTCTAATAACCACTTACCTGGAAAATACTCCAGAACAATAGAAACGTTCTCACAGCAGTACTTAATATTTATTTGATTCTTCCCCTGTGCCAAATCCACCAAGAATTTGAATTTGTCATTGATAAGACTGGTTGATATAAGAACAGTGTTGTTATTGTTCTGGCTCAAGTAAACATTTTTGTCCTTTTGGTTTTGGCATGACAGACTTGCCGAGTACTGTACACGACCAATGATTTTGATTATGGGGTAAGTTACAGCATCCAAGTTGCTGAAGTTCAAAATTTTGATATTGTGGTTATTCATGGTCTAAAACAGATGAAAAAGAACTATAACACTGGTTACTTTTTTTGTATGATAGAAAAGGTGTTTGATCATTTAATTAATTACAGATGTATCTAGGTGCATTACTTAATATTATTGAAGATTGTAAATGTAAATTTCTACGTAGATGGTACTATTTGTAAGGAACGCAGTGGACGTACACTGTTGCTAAAATGGGATTTTTTAACCATTCGAGCATCGACTAGAAGCCGAAATAATCTGACTTGAGAATGGCAGGTATACCAGTTTTCAAAGAAAAAAACACTTGCACGTCACGATTTCTACAAAGTGACGTCACTTGTATTTAAAATTTCCAGAACATCAACCTTAGAGTTCAAATTTTCCTAACACAGCTAATAATACGAAACCCATACGGAACTATATATCTATATAACTATAGTCATCATTATATTGGACATTTTAGAATTATATTGATTAAATAACCAAAAACATTTGTTATTATTAATAATATAAATTGTACGAAATAACTCATTAAGTCTAACAGTCTCTAACAGTCTCTTTAAGTCTACAAAATAATAATTTTAATTAAATATATTAGACAATTGTACGCAACTGATACGGAAATACTTCAAATTTTATTGACAGTTCAGCGGGTGGTAAAAGTGTATTAAGTGTTGCCGCTTTTTTTACAATAGAAGTTTTGTTTATGTTTTGAGTGGTTTTGATTTCTTACACAATTTGATCAATCATAACATAATATTATAATATAATATATATTAATAAATTGTATTTTTAAATACATAATAAATTTAGATTAATAGCTTTAAAAACTAATTATTGTTGTGTATTGTGATTGTGATATGCGAAAATAAGTAGAAAGCTGATAAGCTTTCATATAAGATAGATTATTTTGAACAAGAAATAATGACGGAACGTTTTAACTAATAAAGCCCTAAAAGAGGTAAGTGTAAAATTTAGAATATATAATTTTGTATTAAAATGTTTTCTTATGTATTTTAATGTGTTGCAGTAATCTTAAAACTAAGTGTATTTACTGTTAATATAGGCAACGCTGTGGGGTTCTGGCGACGTAAATCTTGAATGACGTGCAAGCTTTTTTATATGAAAAATGCTATAAGACCTTGCTGAAAAATCCTGTGGCGCACCTGGGGGGGGGGGAGGTTTCGGGCGTTAAACCCCCCCCCTCCCAGGGCATATAAAGTAAAATATATATAAAGAATAATAGGAAAATGTAACTTTTCTTTCACACACACAATACAAAAAATCCAAAATGCTAATTAATTAATTAAATTATCACTTTAAATATGTAGAACCCAATAATTATTGAATAAATACACAATAATTAATAATATTTTTCATTATATTTAGATAAAGATACCTAATATTAGGCTTATGACAAAAGTAGACAGAACGAGTCTGTTGCGAGTAGCATGCGCCTACAGGAATGTATCTGCCGCGGCCTTGTGGACTATCACGGGTTGTGTTCCTCTGCATGTGTTAGAAGTAGAAAAGAGACATCTCTATGAGAGAAGAGAGCATTTGACAATAGCTATAAAAAAAAAGAAGAAAGGAAAAGATCAATGGAAAGATGGCAAGAAGAGTGGAACAACAAGGAAGTTGTTGGCCAGTGGACCAAGATTTTGATCCCGAGCCTCAGGGACTGGGTAGATTGTTTTGTTTTAGGGCGCATCTGCATATGTTCAGAAAGACAGATACAGATAAATTCTCATACTGCGAAAATTCCGACATTATTACTGAAACAATGCTGGAGTGAAATAGATGTACAGAGAAACAGAATGTATAAAGAAATAGGTGTGAACTCTGTGACTGTAAGAGAGATGATCGTGAAGATGACGGGAAGTACGAAGGGATGAAATAGTGTTTATAATTACATCCGTGCAGTCATTAAAAAGAAAGAAAAAGAAGGGAAACACCAACCGGGCCAACGACAGAGATAAGATCTAACTACTATTTCATTGGGAATAAGCTGCAATGAAAGGTTAAAATAAGTTTATTGACGTTTGAATCTTTGATCTTGCACTGATAACTTGTTTATACTCCTACCATTAATAGAAAAAGAATAGCGATTGGTACTGAAGTACATCTAGCCTTCATCGACCTAGAAAAGGCGTATGATACAATTCCAAGACTTAAATTGTGGCAAGCTTTACAACAACTCGACATTAGTCCATACCTTTTAGGAATAATCACAGAAGTATACAGGAATAATACTACTTACCTAAAAATCGGAAATAGACTATCAGAGACAATAAAAGTAACTAAATGACTAAAACAAGGATGCATTATGTTACCCTTACTGTTTAATTTATATTATTATATTGAGGCAGCCCGCCAAAATTGGAAACACCACTGCCAGGGAATGGGAATCCCCATAGGAAATGACGTACTGTTCTCCCTGATTTTTGCGGATGACCTAGTTCAAGATTCTTATGATCTAGAATTTATGATTAAGCGTCTATACAGAGAGTATGTAAAATGGGGGTTAAAAGTCAGCATGAAGTAAACAGAATTTTTAGTTATCAATTCAGGTACAAGGTTTGAAGTGTTGATAGACGAGGACGTGGAAATCAAACTATTGGAAAAATTTAAATATTTAGGTGCACTCGTTGCTAAGAACGGCTTGGGAGAAACCGAAATTAAACACCAAATTAATCAGTGACGTAAAATTGTAGGATGTCTGAACTCCTTATGGTGGGATCACAACATTTCCAAAAGGAACAAAAAAAGAATAGGGCAATCCATGGTAGAATCCGTTCTTTGTTATGGCTCTGAACTATGGAAAATTAATGAAGACCTGAAGAGAAGATTGTTGGCAGTTGAAATGGATTATTTGAGAAGTGCTATTCTTTGTTTCAAGTTAAGAAAATAACATTACGCTTATGGAGATCAGTGTTGCCAAAACTCTCAGACACTCTCTTTTGCACGGATGTCCAAGATATTCCCTTTGCTTAATTTGTGAATTTTCATTTTCAATTAACATTTAACTGTAAAGTCAGAATAACTACTAAATAAAAGCCTTATTATCATTATGTAGTCAGAGAACGACATAAAATAGCTTACATACGCACATCGTATTATTTTAAGTTGCAATTAGTAATTAGATATACGCATTCCAAGCGGTCAATATTTTCTACTGATTTCTATGATTCATGGCATATCGTATTTTCACCGAAAAACAAATAAACTGTCGTTACTATAATTAAAATAAGATAAAATAAAATTATCTTTTGTAAATACTATTTATCTAATTAAAATCATTTTCCCTACTTTTCATCTCTTTTTTCGAATGGGCACTTTTGGTCAATTACGTTAAAAAACATTAATTTAATTCATGTTTGTGGAAACAAAAATACAAATTATACAATCCTAAATTGTGCTTGTGTGTGTCGTGGCAACGCCGCGTTGCTATCGTCCATAAGAAATACATGGCCCTATCTCCGCAATGTTATTTTCTAAACGTGGAACGTAGTATAGAACATCAAGCTAGGAAAGGAAGACCAACGAATCTATAAGAAATAACATTAATGCTACAGAAACGGTTATTGACAGAATAGAAAGAAGAGGTTCAAAATGGTTTGGACACATTGAGAATGCCTGACAAACGTTGGCCCCAAAAAGTTCACAAATGGAAGCCCCCTGAAAGAAGAAAAAGAGGTAGACCTCGACGCTCATGGAATGAAGGAATTAAAAGAGCGATGGAATTGAGAGGTTTGGAAGAGGAGCATGCCTTGGACCGGGAGGATTGGCGGAGGAGAACGGGAATACGGAGATAGCCGTCCCCGAAATATATTGTATTTACAAGTTGGATTAATGTCAAACGTCAGTAAACTTATTTTAACTTTCAATTGTTTTTTATTCCCATTAGAATAGTAATTAATTTAAAATGCAACAAGAAAATAGCTTCAGAACAATAGATAAGATCTAGATAAGAGAAGAGAATATTCCAAAAATATCGTCTGCCTTACAGCGGCCACCCCACTTTTGAATTATGGTACGTGCGACATTCAACTGCGCACAAGTAAGAGAGGATGGTTTTAGTTGGTAGGCAGGATAATAGATACCTGAATCTTTGGCACTGCTATCTTTAGTACTTTAAATTAAACTAAAACTTAAATTTTAGGGACTTAAAATGGAGTAGCATAAAAAAAAATTCAAAACCCCCCGACAAATTCTGGATGCGCCACTGGAAAAATCATGAGGAAAAGTATCCTTATACCTGCAGTTTCAGTTTCTTAGCATTGGCATTATAAAATTTACTTTTATTGTAGTTATATAGCTTCCAGTGGCTGTGATATCTGCAACACTAAACACTTTTTCCTACACCACTGTCTCCTACTATTATTTTGGACGTATTCTCCTAGGTTTAGTTTGAATAATTGCTTTGCATTTTTATTTGGGATACAAAAAACAACCTATCTTTATAATTTTTTGATGTAGGTATTAATGTAGATTTAAATTTTATATAGACACGATCATTTTTATATTAACTTTAGGATTGTTGTGACAGTTTGAAATTAAAATAATTTTAATAGAAAAGCTAAAATAATATTGCATATATAAATTGTGAATATAATATTTACTTCTTAAATTCGATACAAATTAAATCACACTCCAAAATTTTGATTTATTAAGATTTAAAAAATGGGCAACCATAGGTACACGAAACACGAACTCCACCCACAGATTTCTTTAATATTATATAAGTTTGGCATTTGCAGCGTAGATGGCGCATTACGTCATATTGATTCTAGCGTACTGCAATGCGCCGATAATTTTTTATTGTTTATATCCAACATTTTACGAAAATAAACAATGAATAGTTTGTAGTTGGAAGTCATGCTTTTATTAACGTGAAAATGTATGTACTTACGGCTTTTTTGTGTTCTAATTTACCATTCTATGGGTGCTTGAATCTGCTATTTATATGAAAACATCGCGTTGAGTTTAAACAGAGGTTTAAGCCGATCATTACAGCCGACACACTAACTAAAGAGTCAGTGACTGTCACGCTTCCATTCCTCCAGCTGTTTTTGCCAAGAGTGTGAATGCCAAGCGGGCGCAGTAGGAATATTAGAATATACCGGAGGTTCAAAAGTATAGATCGTTAAGAAATTGCCGCAATGCCCGCAATTAATACATTTTTAAACGCCTCGTTTATTAGTAAAGACATAGGTCGAGTTAACATCCATAATAACACGAAATACATCGATCTATGGAAAGATTAACCTGTCGAATAATATAAAAAGAAATAGCCTATTAGAACTCCCTATTACAATTAGAATAGCGTATTAGAATAGAAGTAGTAGCAGTAGAAGGTAGTTTCAACACAAGTAGCAAAACTTAAATAAAAAAGTCTGATAATAATCCCAGAAAGACGGACAAGGAAAGAAGAAAGGCAGAAAATAATTATTAAACATCAAGGAATTGCAAACGTAAGAGAGAAAGAATATAAATTAGCTGGTCAAGTGATATAAAACAACATGTTGGACCTAGGTGGATGCAAATGGACCAGGAGAGAGAACAATGAAGTGGCTAGCATCCATAGCACATATATAACATAATGTCGCAGAGTAAGAATCATTGTTTCTAATATTGATATAACCCACTGCACAATTTTAATTATGGAATTTTACTCGCTATTAAGAAATAATGTTAAAAGTTCACAAATTCGAAGTCTGCAATATATTAAAATTTATGATGTTGAAAGCTGAACGTGGAGAAGTATTAATTTCTTTAGCAAAAATATAGGAAAGGGTTGCAAAGCACTTGGAACAGACAAGGGCACAGTTAACCGAAAAATCTGTAACCGAATTCTTATGATTTTGTTTTGAAAATATTAGAATTCTTTGTTGGTTTCAGAGACTAAGAAGTAAAACTTGCCAAGCAGTAATTTTAAAGTGTGAAAAATGGTCCACTGGCACATAAAATCAATGGCCCATATAAGTTTATGTACAGCCTTTCTGAATAGTTCTAATATGTTTTTCTAATGCGTGGTCTTATATTTTTCATACACGAGATTTTTTATCTATCTGGACAGCTGATCCCTTTTATTTAAAAAAAACGGTTGCGTTTCGATTTTATTTGAGTCTCTTACCATTCTCTAACACGTGTTTCTGGGTCTACCAGTCATCAGAGACAATTTGTAAGAACACTCAAACCACACCGACTACTATGGCAATTATAGAAACAATAATTATCAGAGTATGCTACTAGAGACCTCTAGTGAGAAAAGATAAAGTTAAATATCGATAGCAATTAAAGTAAACTGTATACCCTTAAATTGAATGGCTTGATTAAGCTTGGGTATACAGTTTACTTTAATTGCTATCGATATTTAACTTCATTCAACACTAGAACGCAAACATGACGATTTCCATATGCACAAAAAAATTAAAGAAGTACAGAATACCAGAAAACAACGTAATACATTCATAGTTGTAGATACTGGAGGCCAAATTTTGACTACCATTTAAGTCCGACTGAAATAAACAATCCCTACGGCCCAGAAATAACAAACGAAGAAGTAACTATGGCCATTAAGCGGATTAAATATGGGAAATCACCAGGAGCTGATGAGATGCATGGTGAAATTTTAAAGCTATTAGAGGCAAATTTCGAAAGCGCATGGTTAAATGCTACATTTGGTCAGTCCTCTTATACGGTGTCGAAGCATGGACATTACAAATATCCACGATTAATTGTCTGGAGGCCTTTGAGATGTGGCTGCACAGACGTATACTAAAAATTCCATGGACGGCTATGCTGACAAATGTGGCAGTCCTTGAAAGAGCAAATGTTGCTCGCGAGCTGCTTGATAACATCAAATGTAGAAAGATGGTCTATTTTGGACACGTAGTAAGGAGAGACCGATGTAATATTTTTCAACTTATTATGATGGGTAAAATCGAAGGACGCAGAGGAATTGGTAGAAAGCAGGCCTCTTGGTTGAAGAATATCAGGGAGTGGGCAGGAATACAGAAAGCTGAGCAACTATTTAGAATAGCTCGAGACAGAGACAGTTTCGCCATGTTAATCGCCAACGTCAAGGGGACTTGATAGGGCACGTTAAGAAGAAGAAGAAGAGGCAAATCAAATCACAGCTCTTTGAAACGAATAAAATGTGGGATTAATCTAAAATTGTGAATTGAAATTGAAACGAATAAAGATGTGTGAATTGACAAAGTTCAGAAGAACTGAAAGAGAAGTGATGGAAAAAAAAAATACTAAAAATAGGGCTAAGCTCAGAGGAACAAATTTAAATGGCCAAAGAGACACTAAATCTCAAGTGAGTGTTCGGGCTAGCTTCAATGCACTGGATTGTGGCTTTAAAGATTTAAACAGATAGCAAGGATACTGAGCTAATGAGACAAGAAACGAAATGAGACCTGGTAATATCAAACGTGATACAACTAAAGAAGGTCACTGGGAATAAATTTATAGAAAGAGAACAATAAGAAGAGAAAAGAAGGGCGCCAACTCAACGATAGTTGAGATTTTGAAGTAACAAATGAATCTGGAGGTAATACTCTGAAATACAAAAATACTAACTATTAATCTTGTTTTGCTATGTTATATACTGGTTAGTAGAACTGAAATAAAACTCAAAATAGCAACAATAAATATATTTATAAACAAATGTATATAGGTATATGTGTATAAACAATTTACATATAATGCAAAGCCAAATAACAGTGGTAGTGGATGGTGTACAGATACAATAGGACCTAATAGCCCCTCAACAAATGAATAGTCACTACCACTGGCCAAATAAAATATGAAATATTAGTATACAACAAGAATAGTCCGTAGGGTAGCCAAAGTCTTAAAACAAAAAGGTAGTCATTTAAATTTAAATTAGTTCTACTAAAATGAGGTACTAATGACAATATTGTAAAGATATCAAACTTGATAAATCTCTATTACAATTATATTAAATATATATATTACATCAAAAAAATGAGTTGTTCCATACTCATTATATAATATTTAAAAACAAACCACATTAAATTTATGTCCCTCTTAATATCAAATTGTATTATATTAACAAAAATATTATATCCAAAAAAAAAGTGAGTTTGGTCAGACTCTCTAAATCCTAGTTAAAACCTAATAACACATGAAGTGTCCCTTTTTCCTCCCGAATATTTTATAATTAAATTATCAAAAAAAATTATCATAAAGGTATTCACCTTATCATATGCATATGATCAGTTAACAGTAAATATAAAGTAATACGTAATACAAAAGGTCAAATAGTTAAACGACTTATCTTTACAGCACTATAAGTCCATAGGAAAAACTCCTCTTGGCACGGCTACATCAGTTTGTGGCTGTAAAGACGAATCCTGGTCACAAAAGCCACAACCAGTCACTGGCCTCTGGGTGACAGCAAAATCCACGGGTTTGCTAACTATGTATCTAAGGATTCTGTTACTAGTATCCTTGAGGGAATATTCTCAAGAGAATATCCTCAAGTAAAGTGAAATTAATAATTTCACGTGACGGAATCTAAAATGATTATTTAATTTAATAAATATGTAATTCAATAGGTGTAGCAACATGGATTGACTGCACCAAAACAAAACATCAAAACATTTGGTATTAGGTTAAGTCAACATCATGTCAAATTTATGAAGTTACTTTCGTAGGCATGGCAAGCTTGCGCCATGAAAAGAACATGCGCAGAATATAGAAGGCTGTCCACATTTGTCGAACCTTTTTATATTCCACCAAAAAAGTTAAGATACAAAATGGGAACCAAAAAACTTAATGATAACGACGTGGAATAAAACAGAATTTAAGTTTAACTATATAAAAAAAATGACCTTCTGTTCTTTGCAAGTAAATCAAGGAAATTTTATATTTAAATTATTTCGGAACTCAAAAATAAATCTCTAAAGAAATACTAAATACAATGATAAATTTGATTATATGATAAAGAGATAATACGTATAAAATGATTTACTTACATGGAACTGCAGCACGCCAAGAAAATCTTCCTTTTATGTGGAACTCTTATAAATGAATATTGATTTTAAAATTAATTATTACTATTATTATTAATGAATTATATTCTTTCCCAAATTATTTTTCTGTTCCAATTCCGTCACTTTGGAGGTGAACAATTTCACCGGTTGGCGTGGCTGCGATCGAGTTCTGACCAAAACTGATCGTTTTCGTACAAACTCGACCAATCTTACTTTTTAAGCGACTACTACGCGTGTGGGGAAAAATGTCCATTTAAAAATCGATCGCTGGCGGAACACAAAAATTTCGTGAGGGGCTCGGTGAATACGATTTTTAAATTGAATATTGGATTAATCAGTAGCGTAAACGCTACATTCTCCCTCATCTACAGCAAAAAAAAAGGAACTTTTTTTTTTTTTTTTTTTGGCAAAACGATCTAACGCTGGGTCGACAATGAACGTTGATACGTTAAAATTGAACATTTTCGTCACCAGTCAACCATTTGCTCAGGAATTGGAACAAAATCAAGGACGAAATAAAAATATGGAACGAAGAATATGAGACGAAGTCATACATTTTTTTTTTTTTTAATGAGATAATGTATGTTAATTTAGTATAAACCAAAGATAAAAAAAAAATATACATTTTAAGTTTAATTATATAACCTTACAGATCAAGTTAACTTTTAACACTACTTATCTACATTCTCAAGTATTTGTAAAAACAACCATTCGTTAAAACTACATTATAGATGTGTATTAACAACCCCTAACACAATATCTCCAAGAACCATTCATAACAACGAAATTCAAACAAAGTCCTATGAACTTTACCCAACGTTGACACTAGAGCGACCCGATTCTATTCGTCACCATAGAGTTCAATGAGGGCCTAATTACTCAGAACTAGTTGAAACTACAAACCTAAACATATATATATATATATATATATATATATATATATATATGGTTCGGGATATCAACAACA